TAGTTTGGTCTCTGCAGTTTCACACTTTGCATTTATAAAAGTTATTTAAATGATATGCACATGCAACTGGCTGTAGTTGTTGCTGCTGTTGCTGTTTGTCGTCGTCTGGCTGCACTAGCTGTAAACTGAGACTGCCAGCAATTATGAGCGTCTGGCTGTCTGCCTTTTAACAATATTTTCAACGTATACGTTTTTTTTTCCCTCTTTTCATTTTAATTATCTGATTTCTAAGCGAGCCTTGGCCTGGCGCGGAGTCACATGTGCTGCTGTGTTTAAAATTTCAATTTGGCCACCAAATTGTCGCCGCTGTTTAATTGCCACTGTCAGCCATCTTTGGCTGGATGACTAAGCAACATGGCCAGCGGCAACGTACAACGTGCAACGTGCAACATGCGGCACCTGCCTGTCTCCTGTCTGTCTGTCTGTCTGTCTGTCTGTTGGCCATAAATTAATGCCTAATTGCAGAGACAGTATCTGCGGTAGTAAAAGTGAAACAAATAATTCTGATTTCTGTTCAAACTAAATTAGCTGGCAACCAATGAATGCCACATGGGGGCCAATGCCATTTTGTCTATTGAATGGGGCACCTGTTGCAGTCGTTGAACTACTTACTGGCCAAGTCTCTCAAGATGGTTAGGGAGCGGGTAGCGCAAGCGCGAGCGCACTTTAGCACGTTATTTTTAAGCATTCGTCGCGTAAAAGGCAATCAAATAAATGAAGATGCAACCAGGCCTTAAATGGTGCAAAAATAACTCCAGACATTCCCCAAGAGCTACGTGCATAACGATGCAACCTCCTGTGCCCTCCGAAGATCCACCAAGACTCTTATTTTTTTTTTTTTTGTATCTTATAAATAAATTAGTCTGTAGAGAGAATGAGAGAGAGAGAAGTACACGGGGTCGCTGTCTTCTGCTGCTCTTGCTGCTTATTTATAGGGCAGTCGGCGCGTGCCGGCACGCATTTAACCATGGGTTAACCATACAGTAGCAAAAAAAAGAAGTATTTACAGTCGCATTGTCCACGTGGCTGTGCGAATTAATTCATTGTGCCTGCAGTCTTTTCTAGTCTCGAGTCTCGAGTCAAGTCTGGCAAATGAATGAAATATCGTTTATGGTAATTCTCGCCTTAAATGTGTATGCAATGTGCAAAAAGTTCTGCTAACTATGCTAATGACTGAAGTTCCAGGCAATCGATAGTCGGGATCCGTACGAGCAGAAGGAGCTATATCACTTTGAAATCGCACTGAATTTAGCCGAAATTTATGAAAAATTTTAAATGGCTATATTTCGGGCACACAAAGCCCGATTTTGGAAAGATTGGGAGGGGAGAGTTGTCAGAAAAAAGTAATTTTTTGATAAAAACCTTTTGATGCCAATCGATAAAAGCGATCAGTACGAGTTCAAAAAGGTATATCTTTCCAAAATCAGACCATTTTTAGCCGAATTCCCTCAAAAAAGCGAAAAATCTTCAAAATTATAACGGCATTTGTTCGCCGTATCTTGGCCAAATAAAGTTCAGTTCTGCATTTTTGTTGCATACTTTGCGGCTGTTAGATTTTCATTGCTTTGCTGCGGTTAATGCGAAGTTGGACAAAATTTGAAGCGCTTGCTTGGCTTGTTGGAACTGCATCAAAAACATGTTCAAATGCAAATGTTGCAATTTATTTTATAAATATTTTCGGCAAATGTGTTAAATTTTGCAAGCATTGGGGAATATATTCGAACTATCTAAAAGCTTGCGTTGATTACGGTGTTAATGTATTTTTTGTTTGACTGACTTAAGCTTATGTGAATTTTGTGTGCTAAAAATCTAAATAACATAATTACTTTTTAATTCTTCCTGAATTAAAATTCCCATTAGGTGTTGGCCAGAGTTGCCACAATAACATCAGCATCCACATGCAACAACAATCTGTCGTAGATGAGAAAAGTGAGAGCTCTGCTCTGGCTCATGTCCTGCCCTTAGCAGCAAAATATTATATGTCTAGGATTTGCACATCCCTGATCAGCCTCAATATGCCAGATAGATCTAACCTTAACTTTTCCAAAAATAAATTCAGTTTTTTCTCAAGTGCCAATCGAAAATGTTACTGTTCGCTAAAAGATCTATTTCTTAAGCTACTTCCAGGCTCGAACTAGGAGCTAAGAGTCGATTGAGATTTCAAATATAACCCAGTTTCAATCTTCGCTCCATTTGCCATTAATTGAAAACTTGTTTTACATAAATACATAACATACATAAAATTTGTGAAATGTGTGACCTGCCCTGCATACACGATGCCACCAAGTGCAAGCAACCATCGACCCTTAAGGGTCGCACCTTTCCCGTGCTGTTGCTCTACTGTTGGCATCGCGAGTACGATGAGCGTCCGTACAAGCACTTTCAGTTTCGCCGTCTCGACTTTGAGGAGCGCATGAATCGTGGCTATCATTGTATACGTGATTTTCGCACCATTGTGAACTATTTGCAGCAGCGCCGTCTGAATTCTGTGTTCATTTCGAGCGTGGTGGTGAGCATTTGGGATGCGCGTCTGGTACAGGACTTTGTACGCTCGCTGCAGCACGTGCCTAGGATTGAGCTTAAGCTGATGCGGCTGCCACTTGAGTTCTTTGTGATGATGCGCCTCAATGTGAAAAAGATGAAGCTGCGCGAACTGAGTCTAGAGGGCACACCCCTTACACCAGAGACTGCGAGAATGTTGCGTGAATTTCTGCTGGCCAGCAATACGCTGCATACCCTAAACGTGTCCAGCTGCAATTTGACTCAATATAACTTTGCCATTGTGGCGGATGGGGTGTACAAGTCCGCCAGCATGCGTTGCTTTATAGCCAACCGGCTGTTGGGCGACAAATTGACGCTGGACACTGAGAAGATTACCTCGATAGTTGGCTCACTGCTGATGCAGAACAAACTGACGGAGCTGACGATGCAACTGTGTGAATTCGTGGCCCAGGATATGGAGGCTATTGCCGAGTATCTGCAGAGCCCGAAGTGTTCGCTGCGCAAACTCAATCTGGCCCACAATCTGATAGCCGCCGACGGCACCCTGTTTCTCATGCGCAGCATTGCGAAGGGCGGCAAACTGGAGCTGCTCGATATCAGCGGCAATACAATTGGCTCACATGGCGGCGAATGGGTGGCCAAGTACTTCAGCTCCTGTACCATGCTGCAGCATTTGTATCTTAATGATAATCAAATTGGCGCCGAGGCAATTAGTCTCATACTCTTGACCCTGAAGAAGCCGTGTTGCATTAAGCGCCTGCAGCTCTACGGCAATCTCTATGATGCACGCACAGCCATGATTTTGCGCCGGCTGCTGGATGCCAAGGTGATGCTGCAGGAGACGATCGACATTAGCTATACGTTCGATGAGGCGTTGCAGGATTATCGCGTTGTGCCCTGGCGTTAAAAGTTGTTCTTTTTGCTGTGTTAAATAGAGAAATTCGAGTCAAGTGTGATAAAGTAAAACAATGCAGTTCCTTTAAGCTGATTCGGTAACTGCCTTTTTCAGCTGATTTGGTAACCGTTTTTTTCAACTGCAGCGCCATCTGGCAAAAGCTTTGCGCAACCTTGCAAAGCACGTGCACAAAGCTGTTCTCACGCGCGGCTTTCTCTCCCCCCTTCTCTCTCTCGCGCTCTCTTTTTTCTTTGTAGCTGTTTGTTGTCTTGCGAATATGAATGAACTGCCAAGGCTGGGCGTTGCCAGACTGCTGTTACTTTATGCAATCAATAGCATAACCGTTATTTTTTAGTTAAAACCACCTATTTTTTAAGTGTTGGAAAATGTTATAGAATTTGCATATTTCCAGCTAAATTTATGGCTACTATCTCGGCGTTGTTTGTTAGTTTTCCGCTGCCTAACACTTGACTCGACGGTCTGGCAACTTTCGCTTTCGTTTCCGGCTTGTTTTGTTGTTATTGTGAGCGCGCAGCCTGTGCTAAGTGTGTGCGCCTGTATGTGTGTGCATTATTGTTGGCGATTTCAAAGTCAAATGGCAACAACAACAACATAATGCGCAGCAAACAGCTGCGAAGCATTGAGCACAAAACTTCAACGGCAAATAGAACGCGAGACGAGGACAACATCGGCAGACGACAGGACAACGACAACGACGAGGCCGACGCCAACGCTATCCTTGTTGAGAGTTTCGCAATATATTTGTATTGCAGCAGTCTCAACGAAAGCGTCAAAGCAACCAAATCGCAACCGAATCAAAAACGCTCGAAATCAAACCGAAAAAGTAAATGAAACTGCAAGCGGCAGGGAAAATGTTTTCATAGAAATAATTCAATTACAAGGGGATGTTCAATGAATATTAATGCACTTTTCAAGTGATTTGTGTTAAAAGTTGTTGTTATTGTAAATGTTCTTCTATTATTATTGTTGTTCTTGTGCAGTTGCCGAAACCAAGCGAAAGCTTTGAACTGTGCGGCAATTGAAAGTGAATGTGTTGCAGCCCAAGTTAAAGTTTATTGTTCAAAGTTTTTTTTTAAATAATTATTTAAAGACCAAATTTAATTTATAAGTTATGGGAAATTTTTAAAGCGTTTACTTATAATATCTTAAATGTTTACCATACACAAAAAGTTTGCTTTAATTTTTATTTAACTATTGAGAATATTTTTATATATTTTCCCTATATATTTACTTATTGAATTTGTACATTACTAGGAGTCATATTTAAAGAATAATACCATATAAATATTAATGCAATAATACAGAATAATACACTTATTTGGAGCCTAAGCTATAGACTTTGCTCAAAGTATACTCAAAAGTTATATGCACATTCCTCAGCTTAATGTGCTCAATTTGTTGTACACGTTTTCCTTAATTCATTTTATTTATTAATCTATTTTTTTTTTGTTTTTGTGTGGTATTTTCATGACATTCTCAGGCAACTGATGTTTTGTTAAATGAGTTTTTAAATAGCATTTTCGCCTGGTAGCTGAATGCATTCAGGAATCCAGACGCAAACACCCACCTAAAACTAAAACTCAACTTGAATTAACTTAACTAAACGGAACTTCAGACAAAACCAAAAAAAAAAATAAAACAAAAAACTCAAAGCAAGGCATAGCTAAACCTAAAGCTGAATCTAAAACCAAAACCAAGGCAGTAGCTGTCAAAACTTTTTTGACCATAAAACTTGCAGAAGACGCTCGAAAGACGGCCAGCAGAATGAACGACAGTCGACGCAACACGGCAACGGAATTCAGTTACATACTGCAACGGCAGGTGAGTTGTTGCCACATGTTGTAAATAGCAGCAGCAGACCAACTAACCACCCACACATGCACCCACCCACACGCACACACACACACACATACAATTAATTGCATGCATTTTTGAGGCCGGAAGCATTTTCGGTCCTTCAATTTTGTGCTCAGTGCTTGGCGCGCTTTTGTAGCCATTGTTGCACCTTAATTGCAAGCAATTGCGCTCATTAACTTGCCACAATGGCTGCGCTTCAAGCACAGGCAGCTGGCCAACGAGTGCGTAATTTGTTGTTCTCACAAGAGCTAGTCACAAATTACTTTTACCAAGCTAACTAAATTACTGTGCAAATCTATCTAGCCAATTTCTTAACACTTGTCACGACTTAATCAAGCATTTATTAGGCTATCCTTGTGGTTGCACATGGCGTATGCTTAATTGACTTTTTAATGCATGCCCTTACCCCAAAGGAATTAATTGCTTTTCGTTTGAATAGATTATCCGACATTTTCAACATGCATTTAAATTAATTTTTATGCATGAACAAATAAATATATGCTTCAGTTTTCACAGTTCTCGCATATATAATATAGCTGCGCACATAAGGTACTTATTTATTTATCTCCATATAGTATTTATCTTGTTCACAGCATGCACATGCAATATTAATAACCAAAATGCATTGTCAATCAATCAATTTGTGTCTGGTTTTAGTTGCTTTCCCTGGGAAATGCGAGTTGCCGCCAATTCGAGCAGCACGAAAGTCACGTTGGGGAAATTGTCGCGTAGTCGTTAATATTGCAGGCATACCAGGGTATATAATGCATATAGTACCTTGATCAGATTGAATCTGAGCTATAATTAAGGTGTACTGAATTTAAGAAAGACTTTTATGGGAGTTTGCCCGTTTTGGGCTGAGATCAAAATTTGTCCACATCTTGTGCTTAAAAATATGTGCGTCTCGCATTATTTTCAGTACAAAATATTACAATCAATTATTAAAGATATTTATTAAAATTTTGATATATGAAAAATTAATGATTAAACGGAAATTTTGGTTCAAGCAAAATCAGTTTTACTTAGCGAGCTTTAAGACAGGCGTCGGTTCGTGAAACCGTGAAACGAATTACTGATAAATTTAGGCTGTGCTGCTATATTTAAGATCTAAACTATATATATAATATATATTAATAATTATTATTTATTAAGATATAGAATATATATATATATATATATATATATATATATATATATATAGATATAATAAATATACATATTATTTATGAAATAAATATAAGTATAATATACGTATATGTATATATATAATGTACGTATATTATACTTATATTTATTTCATAAATAATATGTATATTTAATACATCAAGTATATATATATAATATATTCATTTAATATATATTATATATCCTCACATTATTGAATAATTATAATATGCATGTATGTTAAATCAAAAGCATTTAATGAATTTACATTTTAATTGAGGCTCAGGCCTTAACTTACACATGTTCTGTCACGTCTTCTCACGCGGACATCTTCGATTTGCATAAATGTATGAATGCTGTGCAAAATAAATTCCAATAAAAATCCCAACGGTATTTTCACCGGAACATATGTGGCATTATGCGAATACGCACACATATCTATACATATATGTATATATAAACTGAGATATGCATGTGAGCAAAAGCTATTGACGTGCTGATAATCCCTTAAGATTGTTAAAATGAATACAAAACGAAGCTTCGCTGGGGGTTGGGAGTTGGCTGGCGGTTAGCCTGACACAAAATTCATTAGAGTTTTGCTGTGTGTGTGTGTTGCACATAAAACTGTGCAAATAAACAATCTGTGGGGGAAAATCTTGGCAATTGGCTTGCGTGTGCGCCCAATCGAGCAAACTGTTAAATCATGAATGAAATCAATTTGTTTTCGGGGTCCTTTAATGGCGATGACGGCGCAGCAACAACAAGCACAAGCACGCAAATTACACACGTTTGGGGCATTAAGACAATGACACATTGGAAACCACATAACAACAACAACTTCAGCAACAACAACAACAGCAACAACAACAACAGCAGCTGGTTAGCTAATACAGTTTTGATTGAGTGATAACTCAATACGTTTCCATATTGTCTACAAAGTCTGCTCGCAGGCAAATTAATAAATCACATGCAACGCACATTGTTATGATTAATGAAGGGACGTGTGTGTGGGTGTGTGTGTGTGTGTGTGTGTGTGTGTGTGGGTGTGAATGTGTGTGCCCTTACAAGCACCAAAAGCTTGCAACCTTATGACATGTACCTTATTTATTGTGTGTGCTGTGACCTTTGCCGGCTGCGCGTAATTTATCAGTTGCTTTGTCTGTCTGGGGAAATTGGAAGAAAGGAGAAGAAAAAAATGGCTATGGACATAATCCAAAAATTTAATTAGGCGTGGCAAATCTGAAGGCAGCGCCCTTGGGACGCTGCAGTTCTGATAATAAAATCGATAAGTCGCGCGCGCGTCTTAAGCTTTAATTACACAACACACAGAGAGAGAGAGAGAGAGAGAGAGAGAGAGGGAGACACATACTTGCGGCATTTATGACGCCTGCTGCACATACTGATGAGTGCTGCAGCATTGTTATGATGGCCATGCAACAGCATGCGGCATGTGGCATGTGCTCCCGCTTAATCGCCGCTTAATATGCATGGCATGTGGCCTGGATGTGTGTGACCTTAAGGCAGTCCTTGCCAGGATACGACTAGAGCGCCAGTGTCTTGGCAGCCAGGCGGCATTCGCATTGTTTAAATATCAAATAAAAACGTCAACGGCACTCGCATTGTTCAGCAGGCGACCTTAAAACCCTTTCCGCCACCCCATTTCTGACTACTGTTGTGGTTTCCACGCCCGCCCCCACCCACAAGTTGCGATAACAGAAATCAATGTCGTCTGCGGCAACTTGTGCCAGCTGCATACAAATGCGAGCGAAGACGTGCATCAGGTGCAAATACACCTGTTTCGCATATATTGGCCACATTTCCAAGTATTACAGCACTCGATATCTGAGCCAACAATTTGTCAGCCCAGCTAAGCTGTAGGAAGAAAGAGTTGACTTCGGGCTGATCAAATTATGCTGTAATATGATTTGTCAGCTTTATGATTTACATAAATTCCAGCTGAAACTTCTTGGAAAATATTGTAGAAGTTTATTTATTTATTTCAAAGTTTCATAGAGTTGAAACTAAATGGCAAGAGCTGCCAGAGACTTCAGTTAGATTAGCGCATGCACTGCAATCTAAGAAGTTTTAACACTTCTTTACTTTTAAGCGTTGTTTTTCTTAGATTAAAGGTAATGGGTTATATTTATAGTTACATTCTTATTTAAATATCGCTGCGATTTTGAAGGCATTTTATAATTTTACACATGTTATCCACATTAGCATTATCTACAACATTTTTTGGGTAACGTTGATAGCAAAACTCTTTTCTAATGCTTGTCCCCTATGCTGGTATCCCTTTTATCATTAATTCCCAACCACATATCTAAGCAAGAGGAACTTGTTCCGATAGTTCAGTTAAGACTCTTACAAGCCATCTGCTCTATAGGTCTCCTAGATGTCTGCATAAGAGATTTAATGTGCATGGTAGAAAAACCTCTGCTCCAGTGTATAAATATAGAGCACTCAATATTAATGCATGGTAGAAAAACCTCTGCTCCAGTGTATAAATATAGAGCACTCAATATTAAGTATACGCCATGGTTGACCGCATTTGCTGAATGCTTTTGACATTTGCGGGAATGCAAATTGCTAGCTGCACAACGTGTCGTATGCGCAATGCGAAGCCCGTGGAGTGCCCAAGTGTACTGCATTAAAGCCAACTAAAATTGACCTAATTGAATGGCCATATCCCCGGCTCTTGACCATGGCCCATTGACAATTGATCAAGCAGTCCTAGAAAAAACCTATTTTAAACAATTTAAAGGCCAGTGTCGAGGGCGACGTCTACGTCAGAGTCAGAGTCAGCGTCTTTTCCTGACACTGACAGTGACTAAGTGCATGTATGTCAAGGGGCTGTCTGTGTGCTTGTGGGCGTGTCTGCTGCACTGAATTGAACACAAATCAAATCCAATTGCTAGCACACATTGCTGAGTCCGAGTGCATGTTATGCAATGCAACACATGTTGCACATGTTGCCACAAATGTCGAAGCAAGCAGCTGAATTATTGCACCGACTTCTGTCAATATCTGTCATATCGCATATTAGTCTGTTGTGTGTTCCACGCAACAGCTGTCGCTAAAGATTTTAAGCCATTATCTGGCCAATAAAAATCTCAAGCCGCACATAAAAATAAGAAAAGAAATGGCCAAGTGCGAGTGCCAGCAAAAGCGTTTGCTAAGGTGCGCCTGCCACAACCCAAAGCGAATGCTATCCCTCAGCCCAGCTGCTCCGCCCTTTTCTCTGGGGAGGACTTTGCTGCTGCTTTAAATGGTTTCGATTTCACGTCCATGCCGATTTTATGCCTCGCTGATGGATTCAACGCTTGTGTGTGTGTATGCGGTGTGTGTGTTTTTGTGTGTCTGGTGCCAAAACAATAAAAACAAATGCGCTCGGGGCCAACTCTGTAGCGCTCTGTATTTGTATATAGTATCTTGGTAACTGACGGCGACGCGGAACAATAATATCGTAAAATAACCATCCAAAGTTGCGGAGAGGGAAATAGCAGAAACAAGCCCATTGGGCTGAACCGCGTTTCCACATAAAACAAGTGCAAATGTTGTTATTCTTGAATGCTTGCTTCCAAGATACCCCGTATGTTTATTTATTTGGTTATTATTTACTGATTGTTGGCTAAACGAGTGTTGACTAAGTATTTAATACATAAAAATAGAAAAATTTAAAGCCAAAAGCCCAAAGCCAGGTGTAAGGCAGAGAAAAAGGTATTCTTAAGTTAAATTTAAAAAATCTTAATAAAATATGTTAGATTAGAATCTTTAATAATTTAAACGAGTTATTATTCAGAGAAAAGAAGTGCGTGATGAATAGAAATGTGGTTTAACAATATCAATTATAAGTAACATTAAATTATATTAAATAGATAGTTATGGCACATTTGCCATACACCCTGCAGAGCTTGATATTAACTCTGTAATTGTTACGCTTCGAAGCTTTAACTTGTTGAGAATTACAAGCGTCAAGCGACATGAAAAGCAAAGCAAAGCATTTCGGCATAGACATATTTGAATACGTTTTACTAGAAATCATATATGTATTATACATATATATTTTTTTTACCTGGAAATAGATTAATTAAGAGTGTATAGAGTTTCTGCCTTTTATAGGCATCAGCACAAATTGAAGCACAATCTCCATGCTACCCAGTTTTCTGTGTACAGGGTGTACAGCAAAAACAAAAAAAAAACATGTTTCCATTTACGTATTTGGCATGCGAAATAAATTGTTATTACCTCTTTTTTATTACTGTTCGCTGTTATTCGGTATGCAATGCATATTTTGATGGCGCATGTTATTTTACGAGTCCGCGCATAAATCGCACGCTGCATAGCTAAAGGACTGCACTCCCATCCGAGCCCAAGTAAATGGCTAACAGTTTGATTTTTGACTTTTTTGAAAAAAAAAAAAACCAACTTCAAAATCCAATGCTCTGTTGCAGGGCAGCGATGTGTCTGCAGCCGAGGCTTATGCATTCGACGACTTCAACAATTTAATGAAGGTAATGTTTGACCCACATTTCCTAAAGCTTCCCCCCCTCCATCTACATGCAAAATTGACATTTCGGCATATGTATTCGTATTCACATACATATCCATTGAATTCCGAGCACATGACACACACACACACACAAGCACACACAGAGAGGGAGCAAAAGAGGGGGACGCTAAAGTTTGTGGCATTGGCCTCAACCTTCTCGGAAAATTGCTGCTCTTGGTCGCCGGGCATCAAAGAATTTCCTCATTTCAAAATTTTTGCCGCCTGACGCGTCCTGTGTACTGCTCCGGCCTGCCTGTCGACTGTCGAATGGCGCCTGGCGCCTGGCGCCTCTCCTTATTAAATTTCATTTCAATTTTAGTTGATTAAAATCGTTGCCACTCCCAGCGACCAGTTAAGACGCAGCAGCTGATGTTGAAAAATGAAGTGCAATTTTACTTTCTTCCTTTTTACCGCTTTGACCTTAAACGAGTGCTGTTTCATTTTCTTCTTCTTGTTTCTTGTATAGTATGCCATATTAACGAACCGAGGCAAATTGATGGGAAAATGGTGGAAGAAATAAATAAAAACAAGTAATAGGCTCTAGTCGAGAGCTCCCGACTAGGGGATACCCTGATCCCTCTTCTTCCAACATCAAATGCATATATATATTCTAATTTAGAAGCTATATGTCAAGTTTGGTGACTCTAGCTCTTATTATTTACCAAAATTGCCCAAAAAACAGGATATCGATACAATATTCCCTTATACCCATTTTTAATGGGTTCAGGGTATAAAAAACAAACTTTTTTGACGATTTTTTCTTTTGAACTCTCGGGTAAATATATCCTGTTTTTGGAATGTTATACCTTTTTGAATTCGTACGAATCCGTACTATCATACGGCATTCAAACAAATTAAAAATTGATGGGTTGAAATGAGTTGTTGACCAAAAAACGTTTCGTTTGTAAAATCAACCTCTTTTGAGAATTTTTTTTAGACTTTTATTGAGGGAACCATTTTCACATGAGTTTTGAGCAAAATTTATGTTGTCAGATTTGAATGCCAAATTGATAATGAGGTCAAACCATGGACAAAAAGTCAAACCTTTTGAAAATCGGTTGAGTTTCGACCGAGTTATGGGAGTGGGAAATTTTGACCTATATCTCAATATAGGATATATGTATATGTAGGATATTTAAGGGTACCATTTTCACATGAATTTTGAGGAAAATTTAGGTTGTCAGATTTGAATGCCAAATTGATAATGAGGTCAAACCATGGATAAAAAGCCAAACCTTTAGAAAATCGGTTGAGTTTTGACCAAGTTATGGGAGTGGGAAATTTTGACCTATAGGATATATGTATATGTAGGATATTTGAGAGTACCATTTTCACATGAATTTTGACTAAAATTTAGGTTGTCAGATTTGAATGCCAAATTGATAATGAGGTCAAACCATGGACAAAAAGCCAAACCATTTGAAAATCGGTTGAGTTTTGACCGAGTTATGGGAGTGGGAAATTTTGACCTATATCTTAATATAGGATATATGTATATGTAGGATATTTGAGGGTACCATTTTCACATGAATTTTGACCATAATTTATGTTGTCAGGTTTGAATGCCAAATTGATAAAGAGGTCAAACCATGGACAAAAAGCCAAACCTTTTGAAAATCGGTTGAGTTTTGATCGAGTTATGGGAGTGGGAAATTTTGACCTATATCTCCATATGGGATATATGTATATGTAGGATATTTGAGGGTTCCATTTTCACATGAATTTTGACTAAAATTTATGTTGTCAGATTTGAATGCCAAATTGATAATGAGGTCAAACCATGGATAAAAAGCCAAACCTGTTGAAAATCGGTTGAGTTTTGACCGAGTTATGGGAGATGGAAATTTTGACCTATAGGAGATTTGTATATGTAGGATATATGAGGGCACCATTTTCACATGAATTTTGACTAAAATTAATGTTGTCAGATTTGAATGCCAAATTGATTAAGAGGTCAAACCATGGACAAAAAGCCAAACCTTTTGAAAATCGGTTGAGTTTTGATCGAGTTATGGGAGTGGGAAATTTTGACCTATATCTCCATATGGGATATATGTATATGTAGGATATTTGAGGGTTCCATTTTCACATGAATTTTGACTAAAATTTATGTTGTCAGATTTGAATGCCAAATTGATAATGAGGTCAAACCATGGATAAAAAGCCAAACCTGTTGAAAATCGGTTGAGTTTTGACCGAGTTATGGGAGTTGGAAATTTTGACCTATAGGATATATGTATATGTAGGATATTTGAGGGTACCATTTTCACATGAATTTTGACTAAAATTTAGGTTGTCAGATTTGAATGCCAAATTGATAATGAGGTGAAACCATGGACAAAAAGCCAAACCATTTGAAAATCGGTTGAGTTTTGACCGAGTTATGGGAGTGGGAAATTTTTATCTATATCTCCATATGGGATATATGTATATGTAGGATATTTGAGGGTACCATTTTCACATGAATTTTGACTAAAATTTAGGTTGTCAGATTTGAATGCCAAATTGATAAAGAGGTCAAACCATGGACAAAAAGCCAAACCTTTTGAAAATTGGTTGAGTTTTGATCGAGTTATGGGAGTGGGAAATTTTGACCTATATCTCCATATGGGATATATGTATATGTAGGATATTTGAGGGTTCCATTTTCACATGAATTTTGACTAAAATTTATGTTGTCAGATTTGAATGCCAAATTGATAATGAGGTCAAACCATGGATAAAAAGCCAAACCTTTTGAAAATCGGTTGAGTTTTTACCAAGTAATGGGAGTGGGAAATTTTGACCTATAGGATATATGTATATGTAGGATATTTGAGGGTACCATTTTCACATGAATTTTGACCAAAATTTATGTTGTGAGGCTTGAATGCCAAATTGATAAAGAGGTCAAACCATGGATAAAAAGCCAAACCTGTTGAAAATCGGTTGAGTTTTGACCGAGTTATGGGAGATGGAAATTTTGACCTATAGGAGATTTGTATATGTAGGATATATGAGGGCACCATTTTCACATGAATTTTGACTAAAATTAATGTTGTCAGATTTGAATGCCAAATTGATTAAGAGGTCAAACCATGGACAAAAAGCCAAACCTTTTGAAAATCGGTTGAGTTTTGATCGAGTTATGGGAGTGGGAAATTTTGACCTATATCTCCATATGGGATATATGTATATGTAGGATATTTGAGGGTTCCATTTTCACATGAATTTTGACTAAAATTTATGTTGTCAGATTTGAATGCCAAATTGATAATGAGGTCAAACCATGGATAAAAAGCCAAACCTGTTGAAAATCGGTTGAGTTTTGACCGAGTTATGGGAGTTGGAAATTTTGACCTATAGGATATATGTATATGTAGGATATTTGAGGGTACCATTTTCACATGAATTTTGACTAAAATTTAGGTTGTCAGATTTGAATGCCAAATTGATAATGAGGTGAAACCATGGACAAAAAGCCAAACCATTTGAAAATCGGTTGAGTTTTGACCGAGTTATGGGAGTGGGAAATTTTTATCTATATCTCCATATGGGATATATGTATATGTAGGATATTTGAGGGTACCATTTTCACATGAATTTTGACTAAAATTTAGGTTGTCAGATTTGAATGCCAAATTGATAAAGAGGTCAAACCATGGACAAAAAGCCAAACCTTTTGAAAATTGGTTGAGTTTTGATCGAGTTATGGGAGTGGGAAATTTTGACCTATATCTCCATATGGGATATATGTATATGTAGGATATTTGAGGGTTCCATTTTCACATGAATTTTGACTAAAATTTATGTTGTCGGATTTGAATGCCAAATTGATAATGAGGTCAAACCATGGATAAAAAGCCAAACCTTTTGAAAATCGGTTGAGTTTTTACCAAGTAATGGGAGTGGGAAATTTTGACCTATAGGATATATGTATATGTAGGATATTTGAGGGTACCATTTTCACATGAATTTTGACCAAAATTTATGTTGTGAGGTTTGAATGCCAAATTGATAAAGAGGTCAAACCATGGATAAAAAGCCAAACCTGTTGAAAATCGGTTGAGTTTTGACCGAGTTATGGGAGTTTTAAATTTTGACCTATAGGATATATGTATATGTAGGATATTTGAGGGTACCATTTTCACATGAATTTTGACCAAAATTTATGTTGTGAGGTTTGAATGCCAAATTGATAAAGAGGTCAAACCATGGATAAAAAGCCAAACCTGTTGAAAATCGGTTGAGTTTTGACCGAGTTATGGGAGTTTTAAATTTTGACCTATAGGATATATGTATATGTAGGATATTTGAGGGTACCATTTTCACATGAATTTTGACTAAAATTTAGGTTGTCAGATTTGAATGCCAAATTGATAATGAGGTCAAACCATGGACAAAAAGCCAAACCTTTTGAAAATCGGTTGAGTTTTGACCGAGTTATGGGAGTGGGAAATTTTGACCTATATCTTAATATAGGATATATGTTTATGTGGGATATTTGAGGGTACCATTTTCACATGAATTTTGACAAAAATTTATGTTGTCAGATTTGAATGCCAAATTGAAAAAAGAGGTCAAACCATGGACAAAAAGCCAAACCTTTTGAAAATCGGTTGAGTTTTGATCGAGTTATGGGAGTGGGAAATTTTGACCTATATCTCCATATGGGATATATGTATATGTAGGATATTTGAGGGTTCCATTTTCACATGAATTTTGACTAAAATTTATGTTGTCAGATTTGAATGCCAAATTGATAATGAGGTCAAACCATGGATAAAAAGCCAAACCTGTTGAAAATCGGTTGAGTTTTGACCGAGTTATGGGAGTTGGAAATTTTGACCTATAGGATATATGTATATGTAGGATATATGAGGGCACCATTTTCACATGAATTTTGACCAAAATTAATGTTGTTAGATTTGAATACCAAATTGATTTCGAGGCCAAACCATGGATAAAAAGCCAAACCTTTTG